CACCGTTTAGCGTTTGGCGTCGTGCTCTCGTCCGACCAGGTGTGGGGGGGTGTGACATTTCTTATATATTAAACTAATGCATTATGATTTTTGGAAATTACGGGTGAAACGTTGGAATGGATTAAAAATTTTGGATTTCAAACATAATTTTTCTAAACTATTATTTAAATTGATGAAAAAAAATATTGTGTACAAAGTGATTTATTTTTTTTTTTTTGCCGAAACGATAGGTAATATTATAAATAAAAATGCACAAACGTGCGAATTACACAACCCTAGCTGAATGGAATAACCAATAGTTGAAAAAGTGGGAGGACAGGTCAGAAGACCTCCTAGAATTACGACACTAGCAAAGATAGAATAACACACTCGCAACTACTCTAAAACCAACTACACAAACAAAAAGAGATAATACTCGAGCGTCTGATCCCAACAGAATAATATGATGACACTTGGGCTCACATGGGCCAACGAACCAAACCTAAAATACAAGAACAAACACAAACACAGACACAAACATCACAAAACATGAACGACAAAATAACCAAAACTACTACGAACTAAAGCACAACCGTCCTTCAGTAGAGACGTCCGAGATTGAATAGCAGACAAAGCCGACTTCGAGGAAAGATCCAAAGCACATGAACTCCACCGCCACTGCTTAATGCCTAGCAAAGACAAAGACCCGAGCCTCAAAACAGTCCAAATAAACCGACCCGCTCTCCCACCGCTAGAAATCACAATCGACCCCAAACTGGCTAACACCACTAGCCAATTCTGTCACCATCCCAAAAATGCCTATCACCACTAGCCAATTCCAGACGCGGTCAGCCTCCCTCAGACTCAAAAAGAGCAAAAGGGAGGAAGTGTTCGAATGGCATCAAGGCCCAGCCGCTTAAACACAAACGGAATAAGCAAAAATCTCCTCCTAACCTAGCACACAGGGTCATAACCTCGCCCACAATGCCAAAACTGGCGGGAACAGGGAAATCGACACCGGCGACCTCTAGGCCCGGCGAGAAAAAAAAAAAAGCGCCCCTTCTTGGGTTGTTGAAATGAGCACCAATCCACATCCAAGGACTGACGACGCACCCACCGAACCCCTACACCGCACAACAGTCGGCGTCCATCGCACAGAACATAGATGAAACCCTAGCCCGCCCCTTTGGTTTGGGACACCGGACATGAGCACCTCAGCCCGAAATCAGATGTGCTGCGGGAGAGCCATCCACCAGCGAACCTGGACGACCGCTGAAAGAGACTCAAACCAGCAAGGGCAGACGATGAGCTAGATTAATCGAAAAGGGCGAGAAAACGACGAAGAGGGGAAGCGGGGGACCTTTCTTTTACAAAGTAACGTTTAATATATGTGTTTCTTTCTTTTTTTTTTAATTCTTATTTTTTTAATGTCATGATGAGAATTTTTAATTATAAAAATAATTTTTTATCCAACTGTTAACGAAAAAGTGAAAAATTATTATTATTGTTGTGCATCGCACGGTTTGCCCACCAGTTATATAAGATGAGTGTAACAACATAAAAATATATTTCAAAAATATAATGTAATATTAATAAACATATAAATATTATTAACACTAACATAAATGAGAAAATAACATCAATACAAAATTAAAATTATTATTTTTGGTAACATAGTTACAATGTGAGATAATAATAATATTTCATTTTGATCTCATCCATTTTGCATACTAAGCATAGCATTGAAAAAATGTTCCATTGCTTTTCCGTAACCATTTAATTTTTTTATCTAATTCCATTAGATGAAATTTATTTTACCATACTAATCATGTCATATATTCGTAGGTCTTAGTTTGGTTGTATGTAATTACTAGGAATTTTTACTGATCATTCACGTTTTTTCAACTATTTTTATCAATTACAATTGTTTTCGACTTATGGTTGATCATGTTCAATGCAGTTTCGGTGTTTTCCTAAATCATCCTAATTCGAATAAAAATTTTAAACTTACATAAAAGACCCACATCATGAAAATCACTTAACATGATATATATCCACCACAATGAATTTCGTTTGCTCAAGCTGTTAAACTATATCCAATTATTTTTATTTTTATATACACAATTTAGGTTCTTATTGTTGATCATAACGTCTTTGACACATCTATAGTTAGATATTTAGAGCTACATTTTTAAGAATAATTGAAGTGAGATTAAATTCAACAGTTTTTAGAATCACAAACAATATCGATACCATATAGTTAGAAATCATTGTGCTATAACTACTATGACTAATTCGAATATGTGTAACAACAACCTTTGGGTCATCATCATGTTGATATGTATATGAGCCACATGATAAGTTTTTTAAACGTTGAGCAAAAGGACAAGGATGAGCTAGAAAAACACAGCTGCAGCTCTCTCATTGGTCCACCATGAAGATTCCTTCACAACCAATCTCAGCTTAGGGTTTAGTTTCTTTGCATATTATTGTTTTAACACATGTATATAACCCAGTGGACAAGGTAGCTGCCATCATCTTCTTTTCCTAATGAAATGCAGAACACTCGTGATTAGAGATCTCAGCTTTAATTAATGCTATCTACTTTGATATATTGTCTAACATATGGTTTTTTGACATGGTATCAGAGCAGGTTTTGACCTGTCTTTGATGCTATCCACCCACTATTCCTTAAAGTATTTTATCCCAACATTTTATCATGTCTCAAGGTTGAAATATCGAATGAGGCTCCACCTCAAACCAAAGCTCTCAGATCCAAATCATACAATCTCAACATCAGCTCATCACAACCAACTTAGATGATTCAAATTTTTTGATTTAGAAACAGGTGCTCACCACCATAAGAGGTTATGGTCTTGAAGATTTTATCATAGGGGAAAGTGTTGCTCCTTCAAAGTTCATCGTCAATCAAAATGGTGAACCAATCATCAATCCTGAGTTCATGACATGAACTAGGCAAGATCAAATTCTTGCTTCATGGTTGCTCTCCTCTCTCAGAGAGTATTCTCATCCTCATAGTTGGTTTAAGCTCAGCAAACGAGATAAGGAAAATTGGAGCTAAATTTCTCAAGCCAAACCTTGGCTAAATAGATGCAATAAAAAATGCAGCTTCAAACTCTTAAGAAAGAAAATCTGTCTATTAGAGAGTATTTAAACAAGATAAAGCATTGGTTTGATATACTTTCTGCTACTGGAAGCATGCTATCTTCTACAAACCAGATCTTGCACATTCTCTCAAGCTTGAGCTCTTACTACACCACTGTCATGGTCAATGTTATATCTAGACCAGAAGCTTTTACTAAGGGTGATGTAGAAGCTCTTTTGCTTAGCTTTGAATCAAGGTTGGAAACTACACAAACATTGAACTCTAACACTTAATGAACTCAACTTACCTCGAATCATGTCATTCAAATTTCTCAAGGAAAGTATAACTAACAACAATAGAAACAATAGCTCAATTCCTAGACGAAGAGGAGGAAAGAACAATAGATGAGGATATAAAGGAAGAGGAGGCAAGTATGGCTCAAACAGACCTATTTGTCAAGTTTGCCAAGTGGTTGGTCACACAACAGATAGGTGTTGGCACCGTTTTGACCAAAACTTCAGCATACAACCTAGTAATGCTCAGAACAAAAACTCTGAAATCTCCAATGCAATGCTCAGAACAACAACTCTCAAACCTCCATTATGAGGAATCCAGTAGTGAAGGCCATGCAAACAACCAGCACTTGTTCATCTGTTGAAGATTCTACCTCTGAAATGAATTGGCACCTAGACACATGAGCTTCAAATCATGTTTCAAGTGATCTTATGGTCATCAAATTCTGAAATCAAAACAACTCAGTGTTGTAGGATTTTCAGACTTTGATTGGGCTAGTGATGTGGATGACAAGAAATCAACTACTGGGCTCTATGTATTTTTTGGAGAGAACTTGGTCTAATTGAAATCAATGAAGCAAGCTAGTGTTTCATGATCAAGCACAGAATCAGAGTACAGAGATTGGCTAATGTCACTGCTAAAATTATGTGGCTCCAGTCACTGTTAAAAGAGTTGTGTATTTCTCTTAAGAAAATTGCATGTGTATGGATGGATAACATCAGTATCATTACTCTTGCCCCCAATCCAGTTCCATATGCCAGAACTAAACACATACACATTGATGTTCACTTTGTTAGACAACAAATTTTATCATAGAATCTCCATGTTCGGCATGTGCCTTCGATTGATTTGTATCTGACATTTTTACAAAACCTCTTAGTTTCATATTCTTCTCTAGGATAAGGAATAAACTTCACATATCTCCTAAACCTGAGCTCAAATTGAAGGGAGATGTTAGAAGTCATTGTGTTATTGCTACTATGACTAATCCTAATATGAAACAACAACCATTGGACCATCATCATGCTGATATGCATACGAGCAACAAGATGAGTTTTTTGAACGTTGAGCAAGAGGACAAGGGTGAGCTGGAACAACACAGCTGCAGCTCTCTCATTGGTCCACCATAAGATTCCTTCACAACCAATCTCAGCTTAGGGTTTATTTTTTTGCATATTATTATTTTAACCCATGTATATAAGCCAGTGAACAGGGCAGCCACCCTTCTTTCCCAATGAGATGCAGAACACACTCGTGATTATGGATCTCAACTTTAATGTTATCTAATTTGATATAATATTAACACATGGTTTCTTGACACATATGAATGAACAGAGACAATAAAAATGGGGAACTTAATAAACTCTATTTGTATCTCAAAAGCACGAAAATACAACTTCTCACCGAAAATCAAAAGGTGAAGTACACATTATTTTAGTAATAGTATTGTTAGGAAAATTGGAGCACATATTATAGTATATGCTCACACTCTCTCCCTATAATACATCTCCATATATAGTATTAGTAACTATTTTATCCGACTCAGACTTGTGAAAAATATATGATTGCATGTAATAAAAATACATGCAAACGAAAAAAATCATCATGATATATGTATTAGTCAGAGCCACAGGCCACCAGCCCTTTTCAGCATGGGTATTAAGGATCTCTTGAGATGGAGGCTCATGATCTCGTTTGCTCCACCCACAAACTCCCCACCAATGAACACGGCCGGCAAAGGAGGGTTACAACCGAGCCTCGAGAGCGCTTGCTCGATTTCCCTACGCATAGAGCTCTCGTCAAGCTCGTAAATTTTTGGATTCACGCCAAAGTCGTAAAAGAGGGACTTGATAGTGTGGCTAATGCAGCATGAAGTCTCACTAAAGATAACCACGGGTTTCTCAGACACCATTTTGTTTACCATCTCCATTGTGCAATAATATATTATTGGATACTAATTGAAATAAAAGGGATGGATAAAAGGTTCAAGAATGTGGTATAAGCTTTAATTATATATATGTAGGTGATTTGATTTGGGTACGTACGAGGAGTGTATATATATACACACATATGGGGAAAAGATCATGGGGTTGAGGGTAGGATTGGAATTTCATGTAACAAAAAGTTGACAACATTGAATTGGATTTGGATTGGTTCATGATATTAAATAAGGATGAATATTATATTTTTCTTTTTGGTATGCTCTTATTTATTTATTTATTTATTTGTTATAAGTTCAGAATGAGGGTGACACCTTGATATGGGCTACTTGACGAATAATAGAATAAAGTAGAGAGCGGCTTCAAATCTCTGCATACGGTGAACTCATATTAAACGTGTCTTTTGTACGACGCCTTTTATTCTATGATGATTTCATGAGAATTAGAATCTATTAAAGTGGAAAGTTTACCTCGTGTGAGTTGATGGATGCTTATGGAATATTATTTTCAGATTTTCTTGATCAGACGCCCATTCTAACTAGACCATACTAGCGCATAGCCCGTGCGATGCAATGAATGATATATTTTTCTGAAATGTTTAACGTGTGAATCAATCAAATTAATATAACTTATACAGATGTAACAAAAATAAATGAATAACAGAGAAGGTAAAAAAAATCTAAATTATTGAACACTTCCTTTGTTATGTAAAATTTGTGATGCTTTGATATATTTGATTATCAATAGAAAAGTAGAAAATACTACTTGTAGACAATTGAGATAGATAAAGGGAAAGTTCTCTAAAAATCCCTAAACCCAAATCTGAATTCCTGCTCAGTCCCTCTTCAATTTTTTTTCCTTCTAACTCCCTACCCCCATAAACAACTTCCTTTTAACTCCCTAGGTATAAAATAAGTAAAAAAAAAAAATATTTATTACATCATTCCACTAAAACACCCTAACATATTATTTTATTATTACTTTTATCTCCACTAACTACAACACATAATATTATTTTATTTGAATCTTCTTCCTTCCCCAACACACAACCTCCCTCCCGTCTTCCTCCCGTCTCCCTCCGGTGTCCGCTCTTTTTTTATTTTTTTATTTTTTTTTGCAGGTTGGTCTCTCCGGCGACACAAAATTCGGTGAGAAGAAATCCGGAAGCAACAAATCCGGCCAAACAACTGATTCCGACGTAAAGTTCGCCAAAATTTTTTATTTTTTTCGACAACATTTGTGATTTTTCCGGCCAAAATTTGAAGTAATAAGTAATATATGTATTATATGAGAATCTTGTAGTCCAGAAATCATGTTTAATTCACATATTTTTGGTTAATTTGTTAAGGATTGAATTTTGAATATTGTTGTTAATATTTATCCTAAATCTTACCCTATATCAATTAAATTGATCAACAAAATTTATTGTTCATGTTTATGAAATTGATGTTATTGTTAGGTTATGTAATGTGGTTTTCACCCTAAAACAAGA